CCTCACTTGAAAATCATAGCAGATCGCAAGCTCAGTGTCTGATACTAGCATGGTAGCAGCATACCCCCTACTATGTTCAAAAAAAAACGCCAATTCGCTTTTTTGTGTTTTTCGCTGTGACTGAATTGGTGAATTTTTGCTCATACCGAACTCTACACGGGGTAGCCAACAGCTCGTCGGGTTCTATAAGCAGGTATCCTTAAAAACTGAAAAAGCCGAAAATTGAACTCTGCTTAATGTCAAAGTATCTGAGGACACTCGTTAGCGAGCGAGTCTCGCTATAATTGTAACCAGAGGATAAATCTTGGAAATTAAAACGCATCCAGGACTCCATTCCTGCGTCGCGTAAGGACAGTGATTACACATTAGATAGCTTGTGATTAATATTAATTAACAATTAATATCATTAACGGTAAAATTAGTACCAAGCTGTATAATAAAACGGATGATTTTACCTTCAGTGTTATCAGATTTCCGTATAGGGACACAAATATCTCTCTTATCAACAAATCCTCTGTTATATATACGGAAACTTTGAGGTTAGCGAACACTTGTTCGTTCTTCAACGCTTTCGTTAGCAAAATAACGGATATGGTCACCACTCTCTTGAAAAATGGCTACGAGGAAGATTTTATTACTACTAGCATTGTTAAGTGTATTTATAAAAATAAATTTATAAGTTACAAGTACTCAATCGCAAATAACTATAGAAAGATAAATAGACTAGTCACAGGTTTACTCATTTGCAGCAGTGATCAACACTAATTCCCTTCTTTCCACTATACTTTAATTGATTTATTTCTTGTATACCTTCTCTTATACTCAACATTCTCTCAGTGGTTTTGCCGGCTTACTCCTTTTTCCTTCCTCACTCGTACTTTAAACAGCAACACTTCGTCTTATATCCTCTTTTCATTATTATGTTATAGATTTTCATTATTATGTGTAATTCATCATCATCTTGATGCATGAACTTTGCATGTTACCCCCCTTTTTTACAATCTCTCTCTTTTTGTCCTATTTCTCACACCTTCCCCTATGTAGTCTATGTCCTCTTGTCTTCAACCTATCGCACTGATGAGCTCGGGGGTTGGCTAGACAATGATGATTCGTCTGCGATACCGAGCGAAACGGATCATCTGTGTTGTGGAGTGTATTCCTTTCCCATGTTTGTTTTTCTTTGCTTCTAATTGCGCCAAAATGTTGCTGATCATTTTGGTGCCGATTTTTCTGGAAATAGAGGGGTTTTGCTCAATGTCATTTTCGGACGACAAAGCCTTTCTACTCCAGAGAATCTCGAGCAGTGGTTCAGTTAGTACCGCACGAGCAGCAAACCGGCCTAGATGTATGGAGCCTGTTTTAGGGCAAATACTTGATTTCAGCGTCTTCAAACGAGATTTTCTAGCTCTCTTAGCGGCCCCATGTTTTTTGAAAACCGTTCTTTTTTACTTCATTCTTGAGTTTTGCAAATTATTGGGGAAAACAGGGCTCCATACATTAGGCCTGTTGTGCTTCGTGCGGTCCGAACTGAACCACTGCTCGAGATTTTCTGGAGTAGAAAGGCTTTATCGTCCGAAATGACCCCTAGCAAAACCGCCTCATTTCAGGAAAATCGCTCCAAAGTGATCAGTAGCATTTGGGAAACACATCTATGTAATTTTTGATCACTTCTTACGCGATACAGAACATTATTCGAGTCCTGGATGATTTAATTTCCAACGATTACCCTCTGGTTACAATTATAGCGAGACTCGCTCGCTAACGAGTGTCCTCAGGTACTTCGACCAGGAGCAGAGTTCATTTTTCAACTTTTTTTTTTTTAAGGATTACCGGCTTGTAGAGAGACGAGCTGTGTCTAATCGTCTAGGGTTCTTTACGAGAAAAGTTCACACAAATTGAGTTACAGCGAAAAAACGAGAAAAAAAAACGCGAATTGGCGTTTTTTTTTCGAACAATTAGGGTGGGTATTGTTAGAGCGCGCTATTAATTCGGAACGGAAAACCAGGTAAAATTTGCTCCGAGTGACGAGCGAGACGTCAACATGCGCTTTTGTCTAAGCTGGCGATGCGCATTATTTTTTTAAAGTGGGTGGTGATTCTGCGACGTGAGCTGAGCTTCCGATTGTGAATTGGGAGGCAGGCTGTCGGAAATGTGGAGTTTTCCAAAGAAAGAGTGAAAAATTCGCACCCAAAGATGGAAACGTGGGCCACTGACCAAAGAGCGCAAATGAGTTGGTTGCCTTGTTTTTAAGAGCATCTTTTTCCGCAAGCAAAGGGGCCATTTTTTCCCCCGCCCGGAAGTGCTTTTGAAAGTTGGATATTCCCAGAAGATAGCCACTCAGCGATCAGGTTTGATGGCAATTAGAAAGAGCTGGGTCGGGCCACACGAAAACTGTGGTGGGACCCCATCCCCCCACTTATGCCCACGGATCTCTATAAGGTGTCGTTTTGAAACGTGACTTTGAGCCTGTGGTAAGGCAGCGTTCATACTTGTAGCGCTACAGCGTCGCGCTACAGCGTCGCGCTACAGCTGTAGCGCTACAGTTGTACCGAACTCCAGCTTTTATGTTTTTTCTTTCTATATCATCCTCTTCTCTTTGTTTCTCATATTTATCTGATAGTGAGCTCCTGTTTTCTACTTTATCACATTTTGATGTAGTTTTTGATTGGTTTTTATTTATCGTTTTTGACTTTAATTATTTGGTTTCACAGTTGCTTGATGTTGATGGCTTTGCTTGATGTCTTGCAGTGCTGACTCGTGTTGATCCCGATGCGACAACTTACATTAAAATGTGGAGTAGAAGTAGAAAATAGAACGGGGGAAGCTCACTATTAGATATGAGAAACAAAGAGAAGAGGGTTGAATACAGAAAGAATGAATACAGAATCCAATGCCGCTTATCGATTATGGAGCGAAATCTGCTTTTCGAGTTTGCCCCAATACTAACTGCTTGGATCACAGGTAAAGAGCATTTAGCTCGTTTTCGCAGGCATTCACGAGCCAGGGGCCAAAGCCTGACACCAGTTCTTGTAACGGTTCTTTCTGCTTGTTTTGTCGCGCTTAGGAGAAGTACCAGTGATTGACGAGTGGTTAATAGACAAGGCCAGCAAAAAAATGGCATTATCTCTGCTCCATAAACAAGCACGCGAAGACTGTCTTGATCACCAATGTGTTAGCACAATGCAAACGAGAGAATTTTTTTTTTTTTCTTCCTTTATGGGTTTTAGTGTCTCCGGTAAAAAAAACATGCAAAAACATGCGTGCGTGTTTTTAGGTGGCGCGAGTACTCTTTGGGTGTTTTTTGCAGAAAATGCTCTTAATAGGACAGAAGGACACTGTTACGCTAAAAGCAGTACCAGAAAAATAGTGACTAATGTCAAAATAAAAAAAATGTCAAAAATGTCAAAAATGGATGTCAAATGAAAAATGTCAAAAATGTCAAACATAAGTGAGCAAATGATAAAAATATGTGACCAAGTGTCAGGATGGTCAGATAGTTACAGCTGTATCAGTCTCACCTTTCCGTGAATTTCTCAAGAAAACTCCAGCAACCTTCCCACTTTTCTCTGTAAGCAACTCTAATCATCCTAACGTTGGAAATTGCAGTACGTTGCGAAGCGGCGCTGTAGCGCTACGCTGTAGAGCGACGCTGTAGCGCTAACGCTGTAGGCGCTACGTTTGTGAAGCGACGCTGTAGCGCGACGGCTGTAGCGCTACGCTGTAGCGGCGATGCCTGTCGGCGAACGATTTAGCGGCTAGCAAGTATAACGCTGCCTAAGCAAACATTGCTGGCAAATGGTGTGGATTCCTCCTCTTCCGTTTGCAGGGAATAAGGTAGACTCCCTTATTACCACAGCTTAAGAGGAAGGCAAAGCCTTACAGGGTTGCAAGCGGTTCTGCCCTAATTGAAGTACCAGTCACTGGCGCTTCACTGTTCACCTAGACGTCCTCCCACTCCATATTCAATTACACAACGTTGTTCAATCATCGTATAGCGGAAACGGAAGACAGCTTGTGGTGCGTATTGTATTATACTGCTGTATTAGCTTCATGTAACCATATCGATTAGCACAGTTTGCTGTGTAATCAAAGAAAGAACGAGAGAAATAAGGGAAATCGATGCACTCCTATCCTTGCTCGCCAAGTTTCTGGGAGAGTAGAATAAGGAGAGAACAAGGTATGTCTTACATACTAAAGCTGTTTTCTTTCGCTGATTGAGAATTTCGTCCAGTGAATGAAGATACACTCTAGTTCTCTGCGGACGGTTGGGCGTGTCAGCCAGTATGAGTGTGTCACCCTATCAAAGCCGTTCTCTGCCTTCTTGTTGAAGAGCGCATGCGACAAAAAGTGGTAGAAAACGAGTAATACGAAGATATGATACAGTATTGTCACTTGCCCGCTTCAACAACTGGTGTAGAACGAGTTTGGCACCGCGCCAAACGCAGCCGCACTGACACGCCCAACCGTCCGCAGCGAACTACACTATACAATTTGAAGTCTAGGATGATACAGGGCTTCATTTCTAGCCAAAGTTCCGGGCATGCAAAATGCACTCTCTATGATTGAAGAATATGGATATCAGCCTGACCTTGAGAAGCATCGGCCTGCCCTGTGTTCATGCCCCTCCCATCCCATAGATGACATGGTAACCCCAGGCTTACCAGAGTGACACATTCCAGACTAAACCGACTGACAAGTTCTACCACTGAAATGAGTAAGTTCTGAGAAGGGCAAAAACTACGTCGTAGCCTTCAGTGAGCTCTCTGGCGTCTACGCTTCAGAACTGTGAACTTGGTTCCTGCTGCCTTGTGGGCTCGCAATGTGACGGTCAATCTGAAGCCCCACAGTGAACGCTTCGCATTCATTTTCATTCTACGGAATATTTAACAGAAGATCATTTCTTCGTAGATCTCAGGAGAGATGCTCGAAAAATTCATTACAAAAATTCATTACAATTCATAATTTCTCCACAAGAATATCGAACTAGTTTCTTGTTGGAGTTACATCTCCCAATCGTACGGGAACTCCTGAGCACGAGTACTGTGAAGAGCTGATTCGAGCAATTTGTAGATAGCTGGATAGTCTGGTGCATCGAAAAATTTGCCCTGAATTGTTATTTGATCGATCCTTGCTGGCAGAATTCCAAAACATGATAGGAAACCTTGTCAAGGATTGGGAATATCTCCAGATATTCACGTGGACATCCGCCAAACAAACATCGGTAGCGTTCACCTTTGCAATCTTTCTTGAATAGGCCGACATCATTTGACTCCTGAACAGAGCTTACATACTACTACTGTGTACTGATCGACAGATGTGAAGCGGAAGAAACTTCGCGTTGAAAGTAGAAGTCTGTTTAATTATTTAACTGATGATTTCGTCATGGACGGCAGGTGTCAAGGACAGAAACGCTGCGTCGAACTAAGAAGTTAACTAGCTGAAGGAAGAGACGATTGGCAGAGCGGTGCCATGAGTGGAGGGGAAACTGCTATATTCGGGTTACAAAATGGGGGGAGGGTTTGTAGGACGTTACTCCGTCCAAATGATATTTCTCCAGAACAGAACGAGCGCGCCTACTAAAGATGGCCGTTTCCCTGCTTCAAGGGAGTGATGCTTTTCCATTACAGCTTTATCCCAGCAAACGATAGGGCATGAATTGGAGGATTTCATAGATATTCTTTAATGATGTCTTTGGGAGCGCACTCTACGCTGACCGTGAGGACCTTACATGTGTTAGATAGGAGCGAGGTGACCCCATAATGGGAGACGGCAATGCTCTGAGTGACAACTTTCACAACATCAGCAAGGAATACTCCTCTAACAAAATCATGACCATTTACAAAATTTCTACTAAAGTAATGAAGGAACCTAAGGCGAGATACCGTTAAATTTCTCCAAGGTAGTCGACCACAAGTAATCTCGACAAGCATGTACATCCAGCTCTCAATGTCGTCTTTTCTGCACTGCTCTCGATGCACATGACACGCCAGCGGTGCGTATTTCACGGTTCCACGGAATCCAGCACGAGCCCTGAATGTTGTGGTCAATTGTTCCTCCAAAAATGAACACAGCCATCACCCCGCAAACGAGCGGGTCGTGAGTGGCCTACACTTTAGCACAACGAGAACGACATTTATCCATTAGCGCCATTCTGAGCGCGCAGCAGTGGACAAGAGAACCCCAGCTGTGCTACAGCCCCTGCCCTTCCACACGGTCTTTCACTTGGATAGACCGTTGTACGACAGATTACCTGGGGTTCCTTAACGTGCCATCCTCCTTGACAAATTTGCGAGCCATACCAAAGTCGAGCATGTAAATCTGCAAAAGCGGCAATGTAAGCAAATCAGAAACGCTCAACAACTCGGGAGTCATTATGTCCGCGCGTCACTTCACAGGGAACAAGGTATGGGTGCTTTGTGGGATTCAGAAGAATAAATGCCCTTCTCAAGCAGTCCTAGGATTCACTAACAATTTGCAAGCGAAGGATTAAAAAAACGAAATCTCCCTTTGAAAGCGTTGTGGTGGGCCCGGCTCCCATATCTGATGCCCGCACGATCGATGTGGCGAACTCTGCTTTGAAGGCTCTCATTTCTCACAATTAACTATGCTTTCTTTTGTGTGAAGTGAGGTAACCCAGAGAACCAAACCGGTTTCTCTTGTCCGTTCGCAGAATCAAAATGAAGCGGCGCAAGGGTACTCCACAGTGCGGATTGGTTCACTGGGACGAACTCTTCGGAATGCCAAAATGAATCGTTACCTTCCTAAGTTCGTTAAGTTCTTTCCGTCCAATGGTGTAATTGCCAGGTTTGATATCTCGGTGCAGAATACCAACGTTGTGCAGATCTTCGAGTGCTTCCAGACATTGTTTCCCCACAGAGATAGCCGTACCCATTGAGAACTTTTTCATCGGCGCATCATTTCGAAGCTCCTGTCAGTACTGATAGTTACTCGAAGTCAGATCGAGATCACACCGCGATATAGAAATGGTAGAAATGATGAATTCCGCGGATGGAGGCGGAGCCATCTTCTCGTCGTTGAGCCGTGGCACCCTTATCCAGCCGAGATTTTATGTTGCGAAAAGGTTTATGTTCTCCGACCGCGCCTCCAACTTCAAATACAACGTACCTGTAAGCTTTTACCGACCAATGTCATGACTACATAATTAAATTTTCCAGGAACATGTCCACGATCTTTTAAACCGAGAAAGTGACGAGCTGCAGAAAAGAAAGATACATAGAAGAAAGAATTGTTATAGCTGAGTTCTATTATTCAGAAGGGATTCTAACTGCGGTAATCCTCATTCCTAGCTCTATAATCTCCTCGAACTCCTATGCGCAGGTGGCGCGGAAACTATGACACCAGCCATTCCCAGTCCCTTCTTGCTGAGTATGTGACAAGAGGATCGTAATTCACCGCGCTGCTGGGCGTCGCGTGCGACGTCGCGCCCGCAAATGACGATGGTTCCAGGTAGTAGATGGCGACAACAGGCAATTCAGAACCGAAAATAGTTGTGAATGTCTACGAAGACGTGGTCTACAGAAAGACCCGTGCTCCATTTGACATGTTAACACGAGTTAAGGGA